GCAGCGCCGGCAGGCTCACTCCTCCAAAACCTTCTCGCTGACATTGCTTCGAGTGGAATTGCATTTATTTCTTTATGTCAAAAGATGCTGATGTGCCCAGTGTTGAGCCAAATGCGACGTGACAGGGTCCCTCCGGGCGTCGAGCGCTGCCCGCCCCTCTCGGGCTCGGCTGTCCCCAGGGTTTTATTTGCGTGTCCTTTCCCAAGGGAGCCAACAAAACCGTGACACTTTCCCCTCCCCTCAAACTCCGTCACCATTCGAAGCAGATCCCAATAGTCGGATCTACTACTTATAAAAGTCGTTAAAGCAGCTTTGGCATAAACACAAGAATATGGTTTACTTTGATTTGATAGGAAAGCCTTTGCTGGTGAGGTGAACCCTGGCTTTTAAACCACGTGGGGGAAACGCTCGTTCCGAGGAGCTCTTGGGGGTCGCTTGGCGCCCCGCGGCAGCGGGTCCGGCCGCGCAGGGACATCTCCTGCCCAGAGCCCGAGGAACGCGCTTCCTGCGGCCGCACAGCCGGGAGAGTCCCCCGCACCCCGCCCTTATCCCTGCAGCCACGCTGCAGACGGCTGAGCCTTCCTGCTCTTCTCCATTCAAATGCAAAAGACCCCAGCACCTGCAGGTTGTTACTGCCAAGTATCTCGTTCCCCCTGCCCTCACGGCACGGCTGAGGTCGGGTTGGGGGGGGTCTGGAGATGGGTTAGCCTGAGTTCCTGCACGCATTCCGGAGGTGTTTTATGGCCTTAATCGGCCCTGAGGTTCCCTCTTTTAATTTAAACGCTGAAGATTTAAAAAATCCTCCAGAGCGTTTTTTCAAGTTTATAACAAGACACTCGTGACTGCTGGTTAACGCTCTCTTCATAAGCAGGACCTGCTTTGAAAATTTCGCCGCGAGTGCAGTATGAGGGCAAAACTACCGTCCTCTGTGTCAGAGGAGTCGGACGGGTTAGAACTGAAACCTGAGAGATAGCGCTGGAGTTGGTGTAAGTCGTTCTCCTTTCTCTTTCCAGGTCATCCTCGCTTTTTCAATCAGCTCTCCACAGGACTGGACATTATTGGCTTGGCTGGGGAGTGGCTGACATCAACTGCGAACACAAACATGTAAGCAGGGTCTTGACGTCAGCGTCTGTGACTGGTGCTTACTAGGGTTCCCATCTATCACGATAGACATGTCACAGACGTGTGTAATTTCCTTCTTTAAATGGAGATCGCTGTGTCTTCAGTAAAAGCATCTCATATTTTTCTTAATGTGCTAGTGAAAATAGTTACATAAAGCTGAACAATTTTACATTTCTGATAAATAGAGCTGCAAATATCCTATGGTATCCTATGGTTTGTTGCTAATTGGCAAACACAGGTATCTGCAGCTTGGAAAATGAACCATATTTTCACTTGCCTGTCCCTGAATACATGGTTCATTAAATATAGCTGATTACCAGAAGCTCTACATAGATTATGAACTGTGCTTGTTTTGTGACATTAGTGATAAAGGAAAACACATAAGGTGCTCCAGCCAAAAGCAGCCTGCTCTTGGTAATAATTGTCTTCCCAATTAGTTCTCTGTTTGATAAAAATTGGTATGAAACATTCAGATTTAAAAGCTAACTCAGAAAAAAACCCAACAACATGTATTTTAATAGTAAAAAAAGTATTACAAAGTGCATTGAAGTGCTTTTATTTTTTTACTACAGAAATGAAAACAATTTAGAATGTAATCTAGAAATTATGTTTCTGTGTGAAAACTTTACTTAAATATTGTTCCTATGTGGCAAAAATATACTTCAGAGAGGGTCACTTTCTGCAAGACCTTTATCCTTTGACTAGCTTAGTTATCCTTTTGTAATCAGTAAAATTGCACAAATCTGATAGGACATAATAGAATACTGCTCTGTGGCAGACTGTGGTAGTATTATGAAATATTGCCATCATTTTTAAGAATATTGCACTCAGTCAGTTCTAAAGGAGTAAGTCTTTTTTTTTTAATAGGTGTTTTTTTCCTTTGATTTTAAAAGTAAATTGTTAAATAGCTAGTTTTGTAACAAAACTAGTTTCTGATCCATTTATACTTTATACAAGAACATCTATTGAAAATACTTCTCTGTGAGCATGAAAATTGAGTATCTATTTGCTTGTATGAGGTTTAGCAAATGCAAAATAATACATTGCTCTCTTCTTTCAGCAGACCAAGGTCAACTTGGTATGCTTTCAAATAACACAGTAATTGCCAGGAAGGCTAAAGCAGGATGTTTGCAAAATACCCATCAAAGAATTGACAGAAAAGGTTATTAAAAATAGCCAAATCGTCTCTGTGAACTCTGCGGTACATATTATTTGTTTTGAGCAGTGTTCTAGCACAGAAGAGCAGGTTTTGACCTTTACCTAGAAACTGTTCTAGCCTATTTTGCCACTACACAAACACATAAGACACAAGTGACAGTAACACTGGATTATGGTAGGGAATGTTTTCGATTTGCCATTTTTTCTTTTCTACCTACACCCAATACTTAAAATATTTGTAAACAATTCAAAACAAGTGATTTTTGTGAAAAAATAAAATATCTGTGTTGTCTTAAAATTTTAAGTTGTCATTAGATGTTACTTAAATGTCACTGTGAAGTTAATATACTAAATTAAACATAATAAGCTTCCCACATTGACTTGGAAATAATGTATCAATGTGCTATTCATAGCTCAATCACTAATCATATGACCTGAGGGTGGAAATTTCAGAGGTTGCTCTTATTCATCCAGCTCTAGGGGTCTGTAGTACAGAGCATTCACTCACCATGCAGCAGCCAGCTGAGCTCAGAAAGCATATTATGTAATATTATATGGAAATTCTCTTTATGCCTACTGTTAGCTGAGACAAGAGAATTATGTTGGTATTTTCAGTAGTATGCATTTATACTTATGACAATGTAACATAGAAAAACAATGTAAAATGCTTTGCATTTATTCTTGCAATTCTTTTTGCACAGAGGCAAACAGGAGAACTAGTATCTAGAGTATTTGGCCTGATAAAGAGATTTGGCCTTTAGGTGAGAGCAGAATTTAGCTGGAACTGGCCACTACCAAAAAAGCTATTCGTTATTTCTGTTAGTAAGGAGCTGAGACTCCTGGCTGTTTGAGTTAATTTGTAGAAATACCTGTAAAGGCTGCAATTGTATGAAAAATCTTACCACTATTTTTTGTCAGGAGATTGGTTCTCTAGCTGGACAGTTCCTTCCAAGCCAAACACATTTTCTATGTTTAACTGAATTTTTCAAAATCATTTAAAACAACTAAGTTGGAGTTAACTTTAGCAAGATGTGATTTTTAAAATCATAGCCAACATGTAATATAGCTGCATTGATCTTATAATTTATAATCCTTTGAAGTCTTATTTTATTTCTTGGTATTTTATATATAGAAAAAAAATGCTTAACGTTATATATTTTTGTTTGTGTGCAAGCCTTTAAGTCTTCTGGGAGCCATAGAGGAATCACTGTGCAAGGTCTCAGGACAAAAACCCAAATGTGTTCAAACTGGTGGAAGAAATTGCTTTGACTTAAACATATCTTGTATTAGATTACAGTGATCTATATACATGGCAGACTTCCTCTTGACTCTAATTAGTTATTCTGCCTAAGTAAAGATTGGATTATGTCCTAGACTTGTGATGCTTAAAACCAGAACAAAATCCCACTAGTAGCAGACACCAACTGATTATTTTTATCTCACTGTAAATATTGGCAGCACCCAAACTTCAGGTTTGTGTTCAACTGTGTGTCTCTGACAGTTCTAATGATGATAAAAACAAAATAAGCAATGTTTTTTTTCTTCTGAAAACAACAATTACAATGATTAAATTACAAATGCTGTTTCATCCTAAAGGGATATTTTAAAAATAGTGGTGATGTTTATCTGATGGACTGGGGACATATAAAGATTGAAGAAAAAATTAAAATTTGAACCAGTGTAGCTGTAAATAAAAGACAAGATTTTCAGATAGACATTCCCTTCAATTTTGCCATGCTTATTCTCATAATGTCCTTTTAGTATTAGAGAGACAACACTATGTTTTGGTGAAATTGCTCAAGTGGAGGACATCACTCAGATCCAAAGTATTAGGGTGTCATATTTTTCACAGATTCCTTTGGAAATCACAGGCTGATTGTTTAGTTTCTCTCTACTTTCTGTTCCCTCTCCTTTTTTTTTTTTTATTTTTTTATTTTGGCATACAGAATAAGCAGAGTTTGTTTACAGTGGTAGCAATTTATCCACGTACCTTGATCACCAAAAATAGTTGTATGGCTGTCACTTTTCATCTGCGTATCTATCTGTGATATCGGGGCATACCAGACTATGCAATGTTTTTTGCCCTCATTAAGTGGATACAATAGTTGATTGCTGACTTGTTTTTGGTAATTGGTAATTAGAAAATCATCATTTGTAATTACTCTTGACAGTTATTGATCAGATGGTATTGGAGAAATAAGTTGTTGTTGGAGATCATCAACAGAATAAGTCCACATAATTAATTTTATTTAGACTTTGGAGCCCTAGCTCAATACTTCTAATTATGGTTGTGTTTAGTTCAGTGAAGTTCACTGTTTTCATAAGGATTTGGCAATATATTATTGCACAAGTGTGGAATTTGCACTTTGGAAAACAAATGTTTTACAGTAAAATCTTGTACAGTAGTCAGCAGTGCCACGATGGGGAGTGTTAGGTTTTATGTTGGTTATATAGAAAGTTGCGAAAGAGTTAATACTGCAGTTTTTATTGACCAATATTTCCAGTATTGTCTTCCTGAGGATTTTTACTTAGGTGAGGTGATTTATAGGAAAACTTTTATGAATCTTAATAATCTACATGAAGAATCATAGACTGGTAATTTATTGTGCATTTTTAGAATCTATATTTCATTTTGTCTGGGTTTTCTTTGCTTTATCCATGCAGGTTTACCTATGAAATTGCCCCAGTTTTTGTCCTCATGGAACAAATAACACTTCGAAAGATGAGAGAAATTATTGGATGGTCAAATAAAGATGGTGATGGAATATTCTCACCTGGTAAGTTTTTCCTCTTTGTTTTGGTGATTTGACTAAAACTTCAAAGGTTAAAGTAAGCATAAGCTGTGTCTAATTGACCACAGTATTTGCAACACAAACCAATGCATCAGATATTTAGAAATAGGAATGCTTTATTTAAACATCACACAAAAAAGCAGAGGGGAAAAAAGACCCCTGAACTGTCTGTGAGTATGGCTATATATTATGGCTAGTAAACATTTTCAAACTTGACTACAAGTTCTGGTATATAGTTAGGCATTCAGACACCCTTTTTTTGCACTTAATTTCTGGAAATGCTGAGCAACCATAATTCCTCCTGGCCAATGGCTCTTGAGAATCATGTACTGACTTCTTTGGTCAGTGAGGCTTTGGGCTCACAGTCAGAAAAAGACTGTGGTGGCCTGTCACTTTCTGGTACATATTATCTGGAACATAGTATAACTGGATTCACAAGCATGGTTCCAGTATGAAGACCAAGACAAAGTGCCTTCCTGTGAAGGCAGTATAATGGCAGTCAGCAGTGAAAAAAACAACCCTGGTAAACCATGTGGAGGTCTTGGCTTACGTGTGGACAACCTGGGCACCCAGCAGAATCCCGTACTTCTGGATTTGGTGTGTGGGAACACCATCCTGTTTCAGAGGATGAATGACAATTCCACCTCCTTTTGGAACAGCCCACATAAAAACTGGGAGTGCATACTCACTCGGTCTTCAGTCTCATCTGCTAGAAAAATGCAGACCTTTCTCAGCGTTCTTGCTGATGAAGAAGTATTAGAGAAAGAAGTTATCATAGATTTTTTGGATGAGATCTATGTTGCTAAATCTTGAGGTTTGCATCATATAACTGAGCTAATTGTCCTGGGCTCTTTTTTTTTATCAGTAAACCAAGAGAAATAGGTGCTTTTCCTCAATTCACGTTCTTCAGAAGTTAGTATCATAGCCTGCAAAGCGCCTCTTTCCATTAACTGATTAGAAGGAAGCTTAGAATAATTATCTTGGCTGTGGAAATCTATCTTATATTCATCCAGTATGTGACATTTCTTCGATCTCAGATAACTTCATAAGTTCCTGTTATTCTTGCTAACAAGAAGTTGTCGTGCAAAAAGAGCACAATGAAAGCTGAACTTTTTAGGAATGTGTTACAAAAAACAATTGAAAGAGAGGATGGATAGAAAGTTCTGACTTACTGGTATGACTTTTTAGAAGGACTGTCCCTATTGCTGTTTAGAAGATGACCATGCATTTCTGAGATTTATTTTTTCATATTTCACTGCCGCTTTCACTGCATAATGTGAATTAGACTTGTATGTCTTCGGTCTATTATGCATTTTTTTCTCATTATCACCATTTTATTATTCATTCACAGGAGGAGCTATCTCCAACATGTACAGCATAATGGCTGCACGCTACAAGTATTTCCCTGAAGTCAAAACCAAAGGCATGGCTGCAGTCCCTAAACTGGTTCTCTTTACCTCGGAACATGTGAGCTGAATGAACTGCTAATTCTTAATTTATTGATGTGTGTCATGAAGATTCTTTTTCATTGAACAACCACTGCATCAAGTGTGCTTATGTTTTGCTGCAGAGTCACTACTCAATCAAGAAAGCTGGGGCTGCGCTTGGATTTGGAACAGACAATGTGATTTTAATAAAATGCAATGAAAGGTAGGCTGAAGGCTAAAGTTTTGATATATTAAATGTGTTCATCTGTTAAATTTGTTGTATTGTGCTTAAGGACTGGTTCAGTACAGTGTGTCAAATTGCTAATGGCCTGTTAAGAAAATCCTATTAAATTATTTCAACTGCAGCTAGTATTTCCATATGCACTCTTTAATTTTCTTTATCTTTCTGTGTCTACCATAATTACAGAGGCAAAATAATACCAGCTGATTTGGAGGCAAAAATTTTGGAAGCAAAACAGAAGGTTGGTGTTTTTAAAATTCAGTTCTTGAATGCTCGGCTTAGTAAAATGACTTTTTTCCTTGAAGGCTGAGAGTTAATATTAGAAGAGAACATTATAATGATAAAAATGTTATAGTAAGATTTTTCAGCTGATCAGTTATGCATTCATGTATTGTTTAGTGAATTATCTGTATGTCTTACTAAGGATTCCATTTACTGTTTAAAAACTCTTGAACCACATGTGTATTTTATTACTTTAAAAAATAACATTCTGTGTATGAAATTAAACTTACTTTTATCCAGATTTTAAAGTTTAGCCAAACCCATCAAAAATTCTACTGAAGTCCTAAAAATTCTCATGGATTTCAAATGTGAGACTGCAGGTTTAGTGTATAGCCAGTAAATTGTTCTGAGACATTCATTGTTACTTCTTGAATCAATGCAATGAAAAATACATTAATTTTGTGTAAAACCAACAAAATTAGAAGAATCAATATTACTATTTTTATTTTTTTTTAAATTTCTTAATTTCTTTACAGTTGGGCACATTGTGAGATGCAGTTCACATTTATTTCTTCTACTTCAAAATTTTTTCACTTTGATCTGATAGTTCTACATTTATTGCTTTTGTTTTGGATTGCTTTGTTCTGTTTCTTAGTAGATAAAGACTAAAGGAACAACTTCAAGTCTTCAAATAGTATTTAATTAAATTTCCCTTTATACTGCTGTAGAAGTCTCAACTTTACTTAGCTATTGCTAGCCTTCTACTGGAATGTTTGAATCTCTCTGAAGTTCACAAAATAATGTACTTTACCTTCCAACTAGTTAATACCATGATGTTAGAGTACAATTAAAAATATAGTTTGTTCCTACCATGTATACAATGTGTTAGTTTCTACTGTTGCTTATATATACCTTTCACATGGGAAGAAAAATATTTTTAAGCTGAAAAATGGGATAGCAATATTTCTAAAATTATTTTCACTTAATTTTTTTTTTCTGAAAGAGGTTGGATTTTGTATTTAATATTTTTATTTTTATTGTAGGGATACGTTCCTCTTTTTGTAAATGCAACTGCAGGCACAACAGTATTTGGAGCCTTTGATCCAATACAAGAGATTGCTGATATATGTGAAAAATATAACCTTTGGCTTCATGTAGATGTAAGTAACTAAATGAAGTGTTATTTTTCAGGCAAAAGAGGATTTTTTTATTTACATATATTTTGTCTTGATTTAAAATATTTATTACTAGATCCTGAGTAAATTGAAATATGTTAGTCTTTTCCAAAACAATGAGGCTTTTCTTTTTTCCATCTCTTGCAGGCTGCCTGGGGAGGTGGGCTCTTAATGTCCCGAAAGCATCGTCATAAACTGAATGGAATAGAAAGGTACTACACAGTGGTTATTTGTCACGCTGTTATTAGAGTACTTTCCTAAGGTACATGCCTCTTCACAAATTCATGAAAAAATGAATTTGTAAGGAGTTTAAACACTAAATTAAACAAAAGACAGGCAGGCAGGAAAGGTTCACACTAAGAAGACTGAAACAATACTACGGAAGAAAACAGTGATATGTTGTGAGTGAAAGGTAAGTTTTCAGCAGATTTGAAGGAAGACAAGGATATTGCTTGGCAAAAAGGAAGGGACATTTTTCTACATGCATGGGATCCTAAGTCTGGGAATGGGTGAAGGAGGATTTGAGGAGAAAAGGAAGTGTGAGAGGTAGACAATGTCTGAAATGAAGGGCTTTGAGAATAGCAGTAAGAAATGAGGAATCCGGAGGTGTCTGAGCGTGAATACCCATGGGAAGCCATGGCATGGTGGGAATTTGTAAAGATTCTCTCTTGAAAGATGTTTGCAGTTATTTCCATAAAATAAAGTGTATGTATTCTGCCTGAAAATGAGTGCTCTGTAAATCAAAGTTTAGAAATATATATGTATATATATGTTTGCTTTTGTATTGCTTATATTTATATACACAAATATGTATGTGTGTACAACAAAGAGAGGAACACATGGTAGAGACTGAATTAGCAGCAATTTTTAGGGGCAAATTTCATTACCAATGAGGCTGGAAAGGACTATGATAGCACAGAGCTGGTACAGTTCTGCTATACTAGGCAGAAGTCTGAGGGAACTTACAGAAAGCCAAGGAAGAGTCATGGATACTCATGGGGTCTCAGAGATTAGGGGCCTGTCACTTGGTGCTGTGTGGGGATTACATGAAATAAACAGGAAGCCCTTGTAGAGGCCAGAGTGAAGTCTGCCGAAAAGATTGTGTGTGTGCCCACAAGCACAAAACCCATGGTACCAAGGTGCTCAATAAGACCAGAATCCAGCCTTTATTAAATGATTAATTGAACCAAATTTGATAAGGCAAAGCATCTGTGTTGGAAATGACAGCAGAGTGGGAGTGTGACCCTGCCTTCAGCCCTCAGGATTCAGACTCAGGAGGAGTCCCATGTGTACTCTTTGGCGCAGTTGTTCCCACACCCAGGGATGATGAGGCTGGAGCCTGTAGAAGATGCTATGTTTATAACCCCATGGCTGTGTTTATCTATACATTTCCTCTGAAACTGCGCTATCATAAAAGGCTACCTGTTTGCATAAAAGCAATGAAGAACCAGAAACATAAGATCTTTCCAATCGTTTCAGTATCAGCTTCCAGGGAAGCAAAAAATACTTACATCAAGCTCTACCCATGTGCTCTCAAATTAGCACCAGATTGCTTCCTTGAGTCAATCATACTGAATGTGGGCAATGTGTAAAGGTGTAAAATGAGAGCAGTGGGCAACGCTCTTC